CGAGTACCGATCACTGCGGCACAACAAATTCCACTCAAGAATAAGGCGACGAGTTCTGATTTACATTGACAAAGTATAACCCTAACCCTTTGGATATGAAAGTGAAGTTCGAGATCGGTCTGTAGCTTGTAAGTAGTTCTGGATCCAGGTTTGTTCTCTTCAGAAGAAGTTGATTACCGCGGTTTTAAAAGCTTGTGGGACATAGCCACATTGTATAGATGTGTTTATTATATTTAAGATAGGCTCAATTATCAAAGGAAGTGTGTCTTTAAAGAGCCAAGCCGGGATTGAATCTAAAATGCAAGTTGAGGCTTTTGAAGATGCAACCACAGAGAACACTTCCTCTTGGCTCACAGCCATGAACTTATTGAGGCCCACTGAAGAATCCAGGTGGGAAATCAAGAGCACCTCTTCAGCCTGTCCATCACCAACACTAGGAGTGGTTTCCTCCATTTATTTTAAGAAGTAAAGAAAGTTGACACTGCTCAGTGAGCTTGGTATTTAGGCTCGATGGCGCTATGGCAGTTTGTGAGTTTAGCAACGGTGCTAAACAGTTGAATAGTATTGAGTTTGAGCCCTACGAATTCTTGTAGTTTCGGAGACCTGCTTTCCACTCCCTGAGGACAAGCTCCGAGTGGGAGTGGCGATATAGCCTCTCCAGTTTTCTGACGTCTTGTTTTAAAGTATGCAGCTGGACACTGAACCACAGCGACGATGATCTAATCCTAATAGTTTTCTGTTTTAAAGGAGCTGCTGCATTTAATGCAGACTTTAAAGACTCCATAGTGTAGTCCACAGTTCGGTCAATGACAGAAGGACTGCAGCAGCTGTGAACAGGTTCACCTGCAGCAGTATTCAACATAGGCTCTATTAGTTCTTTGAACCTTGTGATAGATTTATAATTTAAGGTTCTTTTCATTATGGTTTTATGTTGTGGAGCAGGAAAGTCCTCCAAAGTGAGATCAAACGTAATCAAGAAATTATCAGACAGCAACGAGTTTTGACGCTGAACGTCAATATTAAAAACCTCACTACCGTTAGGCCTGTCACGATTACAAATTTTGCTGGACGATTAATTGTCTCAGAATTTATTGCAATAGGCGATAGAATTGTCGTTCTGAGATCATTTTCATCTAATACAATGATAATGATGCAGGTACACCTTTTCAAAGAGAAATACACTTTTATTTTTAAAGACCACCGGCGAAAGTGGCGGAAGTAAAAAGCCGCTATGCTAGCGGCTTTTTGGGTAAAGTTCTTGCCAATAATGCAGCTCTGCAGCGTCTCTTTGTCCAGAGACCTTCAAGAGACTTTATATAACAGCAGTATGTGTTCACGGAGGTGCGTCATAAGTTAATTTTATTATTAATTGGTACTTTCGCATCGGCAAACACGCTAGCTAGCTAATTGACTAGCTGCTAGTTAGCTAACTGCGCTAGTTTAGTCACTACTAGAGCCTGAAAGAGAACAACTACTGTGTCCCCCGATTTCAATCCTGGTTAAGTGCTGGTTTAGGTCCAGTTTTGGCTGTATTGTGTATTTTTGAGTTATTTCAGTCTGCTCGCGTCACGCGTGACTAGGGTTTAATTTTTTTTCCCGAAAATGAGACGTATTAAATCCCGGGAAAAGACAACGCCTTTCCCGGGAAATAGCTGTTGTTTGTAGTTGTTGTTTTTAGCCCAAGTAATGTATGATATCACTCAAATATATAATCCAACAAAAGCTGCCATCTCCACTAGTGTTTCACCAAGCGACTTGCTAGCTTTGCTAAAGTAGCCATAGCGTTTTCAGACGTTTTGTTGATGGGCTTTCTTCAGGAATTTCACTAATATGAGATTCTAAATGTCTGCCCAATCCACTTGTCGACCAGTGACGTGCGGTGTGGTTTGGAGGTACTGACTTCAGCCCTGTCAGATGAATATATATCATATCAATCAACAGAACCTACAGAGCGGCTTATTCACAATTAGTTTGGCTACAGCAGAATGTTTTCCATGGCCCGCATTATTTGCTCAAAGAAAACGCAAAAGTTCGTAAAAGGCACATTTCCGATTGTGTTATGGGTCTTACCTTAGTTATTAATGAACAGCACAGACCACTTCAGTTCAGACCAGTTTCATGTTTAAGTCCAGATAATAGTTTGAGCGTAGATATGTAATCCCCCATTTGGAAATAAGCCCAAAGAGTTTTAAAGCATAAAACAAAACGGGTGCCACCTCCATAAACTCCTGTGTTTTTTCGGTGGCTGCAGCCGGCTCTCGGGCGCATCCAATATCTAATATCAACCTTCTTACCCTTCTCCTCTCTTCCTTATCATTCCTATCGTCATTGGAAGCAGAACATTACCCTAAATGCATTTTATATGATCTTAAAATGTGTTATATGTATGTTAGCCAAACCTGTTGCTGCCCTTAGCAGATAGAAAAAAAGAAAGGAGCTTTCTGATAGAATTGGACGTAGCCAAATTCTGGGCTCACATGAATTGAGGCTGGCCTCATTACAAGTCGTGGTTTAGCGCGATTAAGACCCATATTTGTTGTCAAAAACACAATTTATGAGCCATCCTCTCAGCTGTAGACATGTTGATTGTAAATGAAATATGTTTGAACTTTGAACAACAATAAACGTGCTCTATAATAGGAGCGCACTGGATTTTTTTTTTAACTTTCATTTCCCGTTTCCCGTCATAACATTTCCCGGGAATCGGGAAATAGTTTTGATCAGATTTCCCGGGAATCCCGTGTCCCGGGATTAAACCCTACGCGTGACCACTTTGCGGCTCTCTGACCCGAGAGAGAGACGGGAAAACAATCCAGCATGCAAATGGAATTAATCGCGGCCAGGAAAACTATTAATTGATTTATTGAATATCGCGACAGGCCTAACTACCGTAGGTCAGGACAAGGTCCAAAGTGTGGATATGAATGTGAGTAGGTTCCTCAACATTCTGAGTAAAACCAACACCATCTAGTACGGCGCTGAAAGCTTTGTTTAAGCTGTCAGTGCTGTCGTCCACATGTATATTGAAGTCTCCAGTTATAACTATGTTTTCCCATTCCAAAACTAGGTTTGAAAGGAAGTCAGAGAATTCTGTTAGGAACTCACTGTAAGGACCAGGAGGTCGGTAAAAAACTATAAATAACACCGCTCTTTGTTTTCTCCACCCAGGACAGGTGATTGAAAGTGTTAAGTTTTCAAACGAACGAAAGGCATTGTTGGTTTTAGGGCTTAGAAGTAAGTTGGTGTGCGATATAATCATAACGCCGCTGGCGCAGCCTGTAGTTCTGGCTTTCTGGTAGTTAACATGCGTCGGAGGAGTGCACTCATTCAATCTAACGTAGTCGTCCTGTTGGAGCCAAGTCTCCGAGAGCGCAAACAAATCCAAGTTGTTGTCTTTAATAAGTTCGTTCACAAGAAACGATTTAGACGAGATTGAATTGAAGCAGGGGTGACAGTGGCTCAGTTAGTAGAGAATTGGACTTTGAGCCTGAAGGTCGTGGGTTCTAGCCCACCACGAGAGCTTCTCCACAGACTCCCACTGATGTCTGGTGTTGTTGTGTCCTTGGGCAAGACACTTAACCCCACTTTGCCTGAAGCCCCAGCTGAAAGATCAAGGCTAAGCTCACACTGACAGAGCAGCCATCCTCCTGTGGACACACCACCTGCAGGAGGATCAGTGAGGGGCTGGTGCTATGTGACTTGTATAGCATCTCTGACTGCCAGCCCCCCAATCCAGAAATGGATTAAGGGGTAGAACATAGATGGATGGATGGATGACCTGACACTCATTAATCCACATTTAACAACCCTACTTTTAGAACTATTTCTGTCTTTCTGAACTTTTATTAGGTTAGTGTGTCTGACTCCCAGGTAAGATTTCCTCACATATAGTACTTTAGACTTCAAGCGAGGCACACACACAGTTTCAATCTGACTAGGTTCTAAGGCTGGTAACTAAACAGATGGAAGCTCGGAGGTTGTGGTAGAGCAGCTCTGCACCCGTGCTTCTGCACGGGTGCCAGGGCCAGATTCTTAGCCAAAAGGGATGTACCCGCCAACGTTGGGTGGATATCATCTGAGCGGATGAGACCGGGCTTTCCCCAAAAGGCACTCCAATTGTCAACATAAAGAACACCACGTTGAGGGCACCAGCCAGACAGCCAGCGGTTGAAAGCCGAGTGTCTGCTGAATGCTTCTGCACTGCCAGTGCAAGGTAGGGGCCCAGAGAAGATGACAGTGTCGGCCATTGTGCTAGCCAGCTTGCACACGGCGGCGACTTGCAGCTTCAACACCTCGGACTGTTTCCGCCGAACGTCATTACCACCCATGTGAATAAGGATTCGGGAGACCACTAGGGGCGCGCTATGAGGTAGACGTGCAAACCACGAGGTCCCGAATTCCTCTTCAAAATTGATAAAAATCTGCATAACTTTTCATACAAAGTACTCCTCTGGTGAGTGGATAATACTTTTCGTCGTCAGCATTGTCCTGTGGACACAAACTTCAACGAAATGCCTCCAAAATCGGGAAAATCGCAGGTTAGCAACCCAGAGGCTAGCAACCCAGAGGCTAATAGCCCCGCACCAGAGGCTAACACTGCTACCATTGATGCTAACATGCTTCAGGCTTTCCGGGACATCGTAAAAGAAGTAATTAGAGAAGAAAACGATGGTTTAAGGGAAGAAATAAGCCGAGCAATTGCGCCAATTCATAAAGTGCTTGATGACTGTACAGATAAGCTCCGTGACCACGGCCAAGAACTCTTTGAGCTTGATACTCGGGTGACAGCTACAGAGGCTAACTACACGGAGCTGAGCAACAAGTATGACAAACTTGTTCAAAAGTTGGATGACGTCGAAAATAGGGGCAGGCGGTGCAATCTACGCCTTTTAAACATCAACGAGGGGCTTGAACAAGGAGATCCAACGAAGTTTGTTGCGGACTTATTACACGAAGTTCCTGGTGGTCCCAATGGCCTGGAGAAACCTCCAATTTTCCAGGCCACAGGACATCAGCTCAACCCTCCGCGGCTGGAGGAAGACCACGACCACTCATCGTCCGCTTTCACTACTACCAAGAGAAGGAGCGCATTCAGCGTCTTGCAAGAGAGAAAGGCCGACTGGAGTTCCGTGGAAATCCGCTCCTCATCTTCCCGGATTTCAGTGCTGAACTGAACAGACGCCGTTCAGCTTTTAACGAGGTGAAAGCGCTGCTCCGGGGGAACGATCGAGTTCGTTATGGTCTGCTCTATCCAGCTCGGCAGCGAGTGTCCTGGGACGGGGAAACGAAAGTATTTGACAACCCCAAGAGTGTGAAAGATTACATTGACTCAAAAGTTTAGAGGGAAAAAAGGGAAAAAGAAAAAAACGACTACTCTGCTGATAGCGTGAATGTTTAAAGACAATCCAATTACAGTTAAGTTACTTTTGTGTTAACACATACTACTGTTATATAAAGTCACCTCCGTGAACACATACTACTGTTATATAAAGTCACCTCCGTGAACACATACTACTGTTATATAAAGTCACCTCCGTGAACACATACTACTGTTATATAAAGTCACCTCCGTGAACACATACTACTGTTATATAAAGTCACCGTGAACACATCCTGCTGTTATATAAAGTCACCTCCGTGAACACATACTGCTGTTATATAAAGTCACCTCCGTGAACACATACTGCTGTTATATAAAGTCACCTCCGTGAACACATACTACTGTTATATAAAGTCACCTCCGTGAACACATACTGCTGTTATATAAAGTCACCTCCGTGAACACATACTACTGTTATATAAAGTCACCTCCGTGAACACATACTGCTGTTATATAAAGTCACCTCCGTGAACACATACTACTGTTATATAAAGTCACCTCCGTGAACACATACTGCTGTTATATAAAGTCACCTCTGTGAACACATACTACTGTTATATAAAGTCACCGTGAACACATACTGCTGTTATATAAAGTCACCTCTGTGAACACATACTACTGTTATATAAAGTCACCTCCGTGAACACATACTACTGTTATATAAAGTCACCGTGAACACATACTGCTGTTATATAAAGTCTCCTCCGTGAACACATACTACTGTTATATAAAGTCACCTCCGTGAGCGGGGCTTCAGCGTCTCAGCGTTGGCGTCTGAAAGCCCCATAACTTTCCCTCCATCAGGACTGAAGCTTAAACATGTTGACTTCAGGACTGAAGTCGACATGTTTAAGGCCTTGTTTACTTCAACAACAGCAGCTTCATCTTTATTAGATTCAGTGCCACTGGAAATGAATGTTTTACGACTGTAAGAAAGTTTTATAATTAAGATGAATTTAGCCAAATTTGAGCCACGTCTGACTTGAATGTCAGGGCTCTTCAGTCTCGCCTTCAAGCAACAGTCATAATCTTATATTTGTATAATGTAAAAATCTAATATAATTCTGTTTATTTCTAAGTTCTTAATCCTTCTGGTTTCTCCGGGGGCGGGTCCTTTAACTCATGTTGTTTTGTGTTTCCAGAGGTGTTCCACAGCAGCACGTTGGATCGCAGAGTCCCTCTCCATGCCCCGCCCACTCACCACCAAGCCCCGCCCACTCACCACCAAGCCCCGCCCACTCAGCAGGAAGTGGACAGTGACATGGTGGAGATCCTGATCTGAACCTCGCGGTCGTTTTGTTATGAAGAAGAAGTCATTCCTGTTTTGTATTTAAGCACTTCCAGAACTCTTTGACCCGGACCTGGACCCGGACCTGGACCTGGACCCGGACCTGGACCTGGACCTGGACTTGGATCCACGACTCACTGCTCGACGTATTTGCACCAATGTTACAAATGTTTTTGAAGTATTTGATCCTAAAGAACTCACTGTTTTCCCCAATGCTACAGCTCCTGGTTTTAACGGTGTCTTTTGGGATTCAAACAAATCTGGGCTCGCTCTTATCTCCCTCTCTCTTTCTCCCTCACTCTGGTCTCTCTCTTTGATCTTGTTCTGGTCTCTCTCTCTCTGATCTTGTTCTGGTCTCTCTCTCTCTCTGATCTTGTTCTGGTCTCTCTCTCTCTGATCTTGTTCTGGTCTCTCTCTCTCTCTGATCTTGTTCTGGTCTCTCTCTCTCTCTGATCTTGTTCTGGTCTCTCTCTCTCTGATCTTGTTCTGGTCTCTCTCTCTCTCTGATCTTGTTCTGGTCTCTCTCTCTCTGATCTTGTTCTGGTCTCTCTCTCTTTGATCTTGTTCTGGTCTCTCTCTCTCTCTGATCTTGTTCTGGTCTCTCTCTCTCTGATCTTGTTCTGGTCTCTCTCTCTCTGATCTTGTTCTGGTCTCTCTCTCTCTCTGATCTTGTTCTGGTCTCTCTCTCTCTCTGATCTTGTTCTGGTCTCTCTCTCTCTCTGATCTTGTTCTGGTCTCTCTCTCTCTGATCTTGTTCTGGTCTCTCTCTCTCTGATCTTGTTCTGGTCTCTCTCTCTTTGATCTTGTTCTGGTCTCTCTCTCTCTGATCTTGTTCTGGTCTCTCTCTCTCTGGTCTATCTCTCTTTTATCTCTGGTCTCTCTTTCTTTTGTCTTGTTCTGGTCTCTCTCTCTCTGATCTCGTTCTGGTCTCTCTCGTTCCGTACACAATCTCTTGAATCTAGTTTATGTAGAAACCTTTCTCTTCCGCACTAACGCTGTGATGTCACTAGTGAGATGTTTCTTTGTCATTCAGCCAACTTCAGCTCCCTCATGGCTCATTATGGTCCTGGTTTAGACTCTTCTCTGCCTTAAACCAAACACTTGAACAAATATCTCTTTTGTAAATGTTTTTGTTGAAAGCACTTGTGTCCTTTACACTTTACTTTTAATCTTTGTGTTTGAAGACGTTGGGTTCGTCTCCACGGCGACGACCTCTGCACTGTGCACCACTGTTCAGATTCATTTGAACTTTTGTATTGTTGTTTTTACCACAAGTCTTAAAAATCCTACCGGCGCCTGAACGCAGCGTCCCAACTGCAGGGGGCAGCTTTACAGGTCTGACAGGAACTGGCTTTCACCTGCAGAGGGCGTCACAACTCAGAATCGGGTCTGCCCCTGATTCGAAGCGGAACAAATGCCCAAATAAGGAAACTGGCTCCAGCACTGGTGATGTCACACTGTGGTGATGTCACACTGTGGTGATGTCACACTGTGGTGATGTCACACGGTGGTGATGTCACACTGTGGTGATGTCACACTGTGGTGATGTCACTGTGGTGATGTCACACGGTGGTGATGTCACACTGTGGTGATGTCACACTGTGGTGATGTCACACTGTGGTGATGTCACACTGTGGTGATGTCACTGTGGTGATGTCACTGTGGTGATGTCACTGTGGTGATGTCACATGGTGGTGATGTCACACGGTGGTGATGTCACACTGGTAATGTCACTGTGGTGATGTCACACTGTGGTGATGTCACACTGTGGTGATGTCACTGTGGTGATGTCACTGTGGTGATGTCACACTGTGGTGATGTCACTGTGGTGATGTCACTGTGGTGATGTCACACGGTGGTGATGTCACACTGGTAATGTCACTGTGGTGATGTCACACTGTGGTGATGTCACACTGTGGTGATGTCACTGTGGTGATGTCACTGTGGTGATGTCACTGTGGTGATGTCACTGTGGTGATGTCACACTGTGGTGATGTCACGGTGGTGATGTCACACTGTGGTGATGTCACTGTGGTGATGTCACTGTGGTGATGTCACACTGTGGTGATGTCACTGTGGTGATGTCACACTGTGGTGATGTCACACGGTGGTGATGTCACACTGTGGTGATGTCACACTGTGGTGATGTCACGTTCACAGACTGCTCTGAAGTGTGAGACTTGGAGAGTCTGAACTGGACCAATCTTTTGGTTTCACTTTTATAGTTTTTGGTCCTATGACAAACGATGTTAGTTTCTGATCGTGGAGAAAGTTCAAGATGAAAGTGTTCGAGATAAAAAGCACAAACAGTTTTTGACTAAGGCTTTTTGACGTGGAAAAAGGCAAATTACACATAATCTTTTCACTAATTATTTCCTCTTTTCCACAAGCTTCACACAAACACGTTCAAAGACGAAGTATTTACGATCAAAGCGACCTTTGACTTAACGGTCCGTTAGCTTTAGCCTGGTCTCTAATGCTAACAGTAGACTTTGTTAGCTTTAGCCTGGTCTCTAATGCTAACAGTAGACTTTGTTAGCTTCAGCCTGGTCTCTAATGCTAACAGTAGACTTTGTTAGCTTCAGCCTGGTCTCTAATGCTAACAGTAGACTTTGTTAGCTTCAGCCTGGTCTCTAATGCTAACAGTAGACTTTGTTAGCTTTAGCCTGGTCTCTAATGCTAACAGTAGACTTTGTTAGCTTCAGCCTGGTCTCTAATGCTAACAGTAGACTTTGTTAGCTTCAGCCTGGTCACTAATGCTAACAGATAAACCCTCAGACAAACACTTTAGGTTCTACTATAACTTTGCTGTGGTCAATATTTGTTTTTCCACAAATGTCTGTGTCTTTGTTTTAAAGAAAACAAAATATTTGTTTTTCTAGAAACACAAAAGACATGAGTCATGTTTATGTTAGCATACGAGCTAAACAGAACTGCACAAATTACCACAATTAGTCTGTTTTGCTAACTATGCTAACATATACATATTAGCTCAATAGGTCGTTGTGCTAACATATACATATTAGCTCAATAGGTTGTTTTGCTTACTATGCTAACACATACATATTAGCGCAAAAGGTCCATTTTGCTAGCTATGCTAACATACACATAACTGCACAATGAGCAAGAAGTTACATAATGTTTTCTGTTTTTATCAATTTGAAAATGTACCACAAGTGTTACCGACAAAACATTTGAAACTATTTTTGTAAGAAGCAAACGAACTTCAGTTTCTGTCGCCAAAAAAACAGTTTTTTAACATTTCTTTTACTTATAAGTGTCTCAAACGATGGTTTTGTTCTTTTTGTCAAGTCTTACTCCTAAAGACCAGTGTTACATTCACGTTAGCGCTGTTAGCATTTCAAGCTAATCCTGTCGAATGTAGTTGAAAACCGACAATTCCACTTGTTTTATATTATTTTTTATCTATAAAAATGTTAAAACTTGTAAAATGTGTAAAACTTGTAATTTCATTATTATTTGCTGCTTTTTGTAATATTGCTGTACAATCACGTCTCTTAATATTTTAACACATGTTTGTGTCAAACTTCCAAATAACAGGTCTCTGAATGTTTAAGTTAGAGCTCATTTCATTCTTTTGTTGAATAAAGTTATGAGACTTTCTAAACGGTTTGTTTTGCACTAAAACCACTACTTTATGGAGGAACACACATTTATGACAAGTTTCTTTCATCACAGCTGGGAGACTGGCGAGGGTTTAATCTTAATATTTATGTTTATGTACTTCTGTTATGGTAATTGGATCGTGTTAGCATATTTAGCATGCTAACCGTTGCTAACTAGCTTAGCTCGTTTTTCTGCCGTTTCATGTTCGAGGCTGGTTTATCGGTAATCAGCCTGGATCTGTAACCAGTCGTTGCTGTCGCGTAACTTTGTCTGTTTTTTTTCTTCTTGCTCTTTATTTCTTGTGAATTTATTTTGCTTTCCTCACCTCGTTTATTCCAGATGCTAAAGAGAAGCTTTTTGCTGTTTGTCCTGAAAATTAAACCACCCCAAGTAAAAAAGTTTGTGAAAATAGTCCATGAAAACTACAAATAACGTTCAAGATCAGCCACAAAAACATGAAATAAAAATATTTTTTATTGTCAAAATAAAACAACTTTACAATATACTTTTAACTCGAACTTTAACATGGGCCTCATGATTCAGCAGCAAACACAGAAAACATGCACAAGTCTGAAGAGCAGAGGCTAACCACTCTGCCACAGGAGGCTAACCACTCTGCCACAGGAGGCTAACCACTCTGCCACAGGAGACTAACCACTCTGCCACAGGAGGCTAACCACTCTGCCACAGGAGGCTAACCACTCTGCCACAGGAGGCTAACCACTCTGCCACAGGAGGCTAACCACTCTGCCACAGGAGGCTAACCACTCTGCCACAGGAGGCTAACCACTCTGCCACAGGAGGCTAACCACTCTGCCACAGGAGGCTAACCACTCTGCCACAGGAGGCTAACCACTCTGCCACAGGAGGCTAACCACTCTGCCACAGGAGGCTAACCACTCTGCCACAGGAGGCTAACCACTCTGCCACAGGAGGCTAACCACTCTGCCACAGGAGACTAACCACTCTGCCACAGGAGGCTAACCACTCTGCCACAGGAGGCTAACCACTCTGCCACAGGAGGCTAACCACTCTGCCACAGGAGGCTAACCACTCTGCCACAGGAGGCTAACCACTCTGCCACAGGAGGCTAACCACTCTGCCACAGGAGGCTAACCACTCTGCCACAGGAGGCTAACCACTCTGCCACAGGAGGCTAACCACTCTGCCACAGGAGGCTAACCACTCTGCCACAGGAGGCTAACCACTCTGCCACAGGAGGCTAACCACTCTGCCACAGGAGGCTAACCACTCTGCCACAGGAGGCTAACCACTCTGCCACAGGAGGCTAACCACTCTGCCACAGGAACTATAGCACTTTAACTGGACCAAAGTCACCACGAAACGATGCACTTTAGAAGCAAAACAAACTATGATGTGGAGGATTAGTTCACTAAAGCAGGATGGAAACACAACCAGGTAGAGTCGGGCCGAGTCAGGCCGAGTCGGGCCGAGTCAGGCCGAGTCAGGCCGAGTCAGGCCGAGTCAGGCCGAGTCAGGCCGAGTCAGGCCAGTGGAGATAGTTCTTCTGCCCTTGGTCTTTACCATAAACAAACAGGGCATTAAGGTGCTTCTACTTTGTTCATTTCTAATATTTATTTTCTGATGAGTCTCATTCAAATAAAAACTCAGACATGAAATAGTTTTACTCTGTTCGTTAAATCTAAAACACTGAGTCGGGATCGTGACGCCACGGCACAGCGGGGGTTAGAGGTTTGTCCTGGGTTCGAGTCCCAGTCGGAACAAGGCCGTTCTGAGAAGGGTTTGCATGTTCTCCCTGTGAAATGAGACCAGAGGAGCAGACGGCGTGTGTTTGACTCCGTTTAAAAAGTCTGCAGTGAAAACGTGTGTGTTCTGTGTGTGTGCGTGTTGTGTGTCTGTGTGTGTTCTGTGTGTGTGTGTCTGTGTGTGTTCTGTGTCTGTGTGTGTTCTGTGTCTGTGTGTGTTCTGTGTCTGTGTGTCTGTGTGTGTTCTGTGTCTGTGTGTGTTGTGTGTCTGTGTGTGTTCTGTGTCTGTGTGTGTTCTGTGTCTGTGTGTGTTCTGTGTCTGTGTGTGTTCTGTGTCTGTGTGTGTTGTGTGTCTGTGTGTGTTCTGTGTCTGTGTGTGTTGTGTGTCTGTGTGTGTTCTGTGTCTGTGTGTGTTCTGTGTCTGTGTGTGTTCTGTGTCTGTGTGTGTTCTGTGTCTGTGTGTGTTCTGTGTCTGTGTGTGTTCTGTGTCTGTGTGTGTTCTGTGTCTGTGTGTGTTCTGTGTCTGTGTGTCTGTGTGTGTTCTGTGTCTGTGTGTCTGTGTGTGTTCTGTGTCTGTGTGTGTTCTGTGTCTGTGTGTCTGTGTGTGTTCTGTGTCTGTGTGTCTGTGTGTGTTCTGTGTCTGTGTGTGTTCTGTGTCTGTGTGTCTGTGTGTCTGTGTGTGTTCTGTGTCTGTGTGTGTTCTGTGTCTGTGTGTGTTGTGTGTCTGTGTGTGTTGTGTGTCTGTGTGTGTTCTGTGTCTGTGCGTGTTCTGTGTCTGTGTGTGTTCTGTGTCTGTGCGAGTTGTGTGTTATGTGCGAGTTGTGTGTTATGTGTGAGTTGTGTGATATGTGTGTGTTATGTGTGAGTTGTGTGTTGTGTGTGAGTTGTGTGATATGTGTGTGTTATGTGTGTTGTGTGTGAGTTGTGTGTGTTATGTGTGAGTTGTGTGATATGTGTGTGTTATGTGTGTGTTATGTGTGTTGTGTGTGAGTTGTGTGATATGTGTGTGTTATGTGTGTTGTGTGTGAGTTGTGTGTGTTATGTGTGAGTTGTGTGATATGTGTGTGTTATGTGTGAGTTGTGTGTTGTGTGTGAGTTGTGTGTGTAGTCAGTGTGTTATCGTCGGATCCAGAGCCAGGCGTTGAGCAGACAGGCAGATCCGAGTAAACAGAACAGAACCAGCTCCGTGTTCTGACGTTCACAGTTGTGTCGCTCCAGAGCAGCCAAACGACGACTCATCTTCAGAACCTGCAGCAACACAACATTTAACAACATTTAACATTTAACAACATTTAACAACATTTAACATTTAACAACATTTAACAACATTTAACAACATTTAACCACATTTAACCACATTTAACATTTAACCACATTTAACCACATTTAACGGATTAACATGTGTGTTCCCAGAGACACAGTCCTCTGTGTCCTGGTCTCCTCCCGGTCTCCTCCCAGTCTCCTCCCAGTCTCCTCCCAGTCTCCTCCCGGTCTCCTCCCGGTCTCCTCCCGGTCTCCTCCCGGTCTCCTCCCGGTCTCCTCCCGGTCTCCTCCTGGTCTCCTCCCGGTCTCCTCCTGGTCTCCTCCCGATGGGACAGAACACCTCCTCAGGGAGGAGACCAGGAGGCATCTCAAACAGATGAGCCTCCTTCACTGACTCCCTCCACGTGGAGGAGCAGCAGCTCTAACCTGAGCTCTTCTATCTCTAAGAGAGCTCCACTCTTGAGAACCCTCATGTGGAGCTTGTATCCGGGATTGTGTTCTTTTGGTCATTACCAGAGGTGAGGGAGGGCTGCAGAGCTCGGACTGCAGACGCTGCTCTCTCTTCACCATAACACTCTGATACAGCTCTGACAGTATTTGACCTGTGGGTTCTAGTTTGGGTTTGACCAAAGGCAAGAGTTTGAGAGCAGAGGGTGAGGCCTGTGGGGGACACTCCTGTGGGGGACTCTCCCTCACCCTGAGGGTGAGACCTGTGGGGGACACTCCCTCACCCTGAGGGTGAGACCTGTGGGGGACTCTCCCTCACCCTGAGGGTGAGGCCTGTGGGGGACTCTCCCTCACCCTGAGGGTGAGACCTGTGGGGGACTCTCCCTCACCCTGAGGGTGAGACCTGTGGGGGACTCTCCCTCACCCTGAGGGTGAGGCCTGTGGGGGACTCTCCCTCACCCTGAGGGTGAGGCCTGTGGGTGACTCTCCCTCACCCTGAGGGTGAGGCCTGTGGGGGACTCTCCCTCACCCTGAGGGTGAGACCTGTGGGGGACACTCCTGTGGGGGACTCTCCCTCACCCTGAGGGTGAGGCCTGTGGGGGACTCTCCCTCACCCTGAGGGTGAGACCTGTGGGGGACTCTCCCTCACCCTGAGGGTGAGGCCTGTGGGGGACTCTCCCTCACCCTGAGGGTGAGGCCTGTGGGGGACTCTCCCTCACCCTGAGGGTGAGGCCTGTGGGTGACTCTCCCTCACCCTGAGGGTGAGGCCTGTGGGGGACTCTCCCTCACCCTGAGGGTGAGACCTGTGGGGGACACTCCTGTGGGGGACTCTCCCTCACCCTGAGGCTGAGGCCTGTGGGGGACTCTCCCTCACCCTGAGGGTGAGGCCTGTGGGGGACACTCACTTGTCTCCTGAGGACGATCAGCTCCACAGCAGCTCCTCCCTCGTCCTCCGCGACCCACGACTCTGTCCTGAACACAAACAGACCCTGAGGACCGAGTCTGGACCCTGAGGACCGAGTCTGGACCCTGAGGACCGAGTCTGGACCCTGAGGACCGAGTCTGGACCCTGAGGACCGAGTCTGGACCCTGAGGACCGAGTCTGGACCCTGAGGACCGAGTCTGGACCCTGAGGACCTTCTGAAATAGATGTAGTTTCCTCTCACGCTCTACATTATGACTACACAAGTTTAACCTAAACTTAACTTTAAACATGTCCCACTGTGATCTTTAACTTCCTGTTACCTCCTGCTGTCGCTCTGCACCGGGACTGTCTCAGCTCTGAGAGGAGTCTGAGGAGGCTCTGTCCCCAGACACCTGCAGAACAAACACAACTGTCACTGTGTCTGTCTGTGTGTGTGTGTGTGTGTGTGTGAGTGTGTGCGTGAGTGTGAGTGTGAGTGTGAGTGTATGAGTGTGAGTGTGAGTGTGAGTGTGAGTGTGAGTGTATGAGTGTGAGTGTGAGTGTGTGTGTGAGTGTGTGTGTGAGTGTGAGTGTGAGTGTGAGTGTGAGTGTGAGTGTATGAGTGTGAGTGTGAGTGTGTGTGTGAGTGTGTGTGTGAGTGTGAGTGTGAGTGTGAGTGTGAGTGTATGAGTGTGAGTGTGAGTGTGTGTGTGAGTGTGTGTGTGAGTGTGAGTGTGAGTGTGAGTGTGAGTGTGAGTGTATGAGTGTGAGTGTGAGTGTGTGTGAGTGTGAGTGTGAGTGTGAGAGTAGAGTTAGTTCAGTCACAAACATCAGTGTATATGTGGCTGTAGTTCCTGCGACCACCACACGAGGGCAGTGTGAGGCTGCAGTGATAAACACCACAAATGATTTAAATCATTACCATTGACCATTGACCAGAGCAGAGAGAGACCAGAGAGAGACCAGAGAGAGACCAGAGAGAGACCAGAGAGAGACCAGAGAGAGACCAGAGAGAGACCAGAGAGAGAGACCAGAGAGAGAGACCAGAGAGAGACCAGAGAGAGACCAGAGAGAGACCAGAGAAAAACCAGAGAGAGACCAGAGAGAGACCAGAGAGAGACCAGAGAGAGAGACCAGAGAGAGAGACCAGAGAGAGACCAGAGAGAGACCAGAGAGAGACCAGAGAGAAACCAGAGAGGGACCAGAGAGACCAGAGAGAGACCAGAGAGAGACCAGAGAGAGACCAGAGAGAGACCAGAGAGAAACCAGAGAGAGAGACCAGAGAGAGACCAGAGAGAGACCAGAGAGAGACCAGAGAGACCAGAGAGAGACCAGAGAGAGAGACCAGAGAGAGAGACCAGAGAGAGACCAGAGAGAGACCAGAGAGAGACCAGAGAGACCAGAGAGAGACCAGAGAGACCAGAGAGAGACCAGAGAGAGGACCAGAGAGCGACCAGAGAGAGACCAGACAGAGACCAGAGAGAGACCAGAGAGAGACCAGAGAGAGACCAAAGAGAGGCCAGTGAGAGACCAAAAGGAGACCAGAGAGACCAGAGAGAGACCAGAGAGAGACCAGAGAGAGACCAAAGAGAGGCCAGTGAGAGACCAAAAGGAGACCAGAGAGACCAGAGAGAGACCAGAGAGAGACCAGTGAGAGACCAAAAGGAGACCAGAGAGACTAGAAAGACCAGAGAGAGACCAGAGAGAGACCAGAGAGAGACCAGTGAGAGACCAAAAGGAGACCAGAGAGACCAGAGAGAGACCAGAGAGAGACCAGAGAGAGAGACCAGAGAGAGACCAGAGAGAGACCAGAGAGAGGAGTCAGTCACATTAGACCCATGCAGGAGGTTGAACAGGTGACACACAGAGACCTGTACTTGCGGCTTGCGGCCTGCAGGAGGCGCGCTGAGGCCTGGAGAGTCATCTGCAGCAGGGAGTGGGCGGATGGGGGAGGGAGGGAGGAGGTAGAGGGGGACACAGGGGGGAGATCCACGAGACGACGACTAGAAGCCAAAAGAGAGTTTCACCAAATTTATAATATGGAAATCTCATCTGGTGTGTGTGGTCTCTGGTGTATATGGTCTCTGGTGCGGCAGTAGACCCTGGTACTCGGACTCACCTGGTCCCCTGTGGTCTCGGCAGGACCATGGCTCTGTGGGGGGTCCCTGGGGGGGTCCCTGGGGGGGTCCTCGCAAAGCACTGGTCACTCATCGAACGACGGATCGGACTCTGACAAAAACAAACAATAAAATATTCAATTCTGAAAATATTTTGAGGCTCAGATTGTAACGATAGTAAGACCTGCTTTAGTCCTGCTTTAGACCTGCTTTAGACCCGCTTTAGTCCCGCTTTAGTCCCGCTTTAGTCCCGCTTTAGTCCCCCTTTAGTCCCCCTTTAGTCCCGCTTTAGTCCCGCTTTAGTCCCGCTTTAGTCCTGCTTTAGTCCCGCTTTAGACCCGCTTTAGTTCCGCTTTAGTCCTGCTTTAGACCTGCTTTAGACCTGCTTTAGACCCGCTTTAGTCCTGCTTTAGTCCCGCTTTAGACCCGCTTTAGTTCCGCTTTAGACCTGCTTTAGACCTGCTTTAGTCCTGCTTTAGACCTGCTTTAGTCCTGCTTTAGACCTGCTTTAGTCCTGCTTTAGACCTGCTTTAGTCCTGCTTTAGTCCTGCTTTAGTCCTGCTTTAGTCCCGCTTTAGACCCGCTTTAGTTCCGCTTTAGACCCGCTTTAGACCTGCTTTAGACCTGCTTTAGACCTGCTTTAGACCTGCTTTAGTCCTGCTTTAGACCTGCTTTAGTCCTGCTTTAGTCCTGCTTTAGTCCTGCTTTAGTCCTGCTTTAGTCCTGCTTTAGTCCTGCTTTAGTCCTGCTTTAGTCCTGCTTTAGTCCTGCTTTAGTCCTGCTTTAGTCCTCCTTTGGCCTGGTCCTGGTAGAGTCTCACCTGCTGCTGGTCCCTGTGGATCTCTTGAGGACTTTCCACACAAACCTCGAGTCTGGACTTTGGACCAAACTGAGGTCTGGGACTGAGCTCCGCTGCTTCTGACCACAACAGACCAGAGATCAGCGAGAGACCAGAGAGAGACCAGAGAGAGACCAGAGAGAGACCAGAGAGAGACCAGAGAGAGACCAGAGAGAGACCAGGAAGAGACCAGAGAGAGACCAGGAGAGACCACCAGAGAGAGACCGGAGAGAGACCACCAGAGAGAGACCAGAGAGAGAGAGACCAGAGAGAGACCAGAGAGAGACCAGAGAGAGACCAGAGAGAGACCAGAGAGAGACCAGAGAGAGACCAGAGAGAGACCAGAGAGAGACCAGAGAGAGACCAGAGAGAGAGAGACCAGAGAGAGACGAGAGAGAGACCAGCGAGAGACCAGAGAGAGAGACCAGAGAGAGAGACCAAGAGAGAGCCACCAGAGAGAGACCACCAGAGAGAGAGAGACCAGAGAGAAGACGAAGAGAGAGACCAGAGAGAGACCAACAGAGAGAGAGACCAGCGAGAGACCAGCGAGAGACCAGAGAGAGACCAGAGAGAGACCAGAGAGAGACCAGAGAGAGACCAGAGAGAGACCAGGAAGAGAACAGAGAGAGACCAGAGAGAGACCAGAGAGAGACCAGAAGAGACCACAGAAGAGACCACAGAGAGACCAGAGAGAGACCAGAGAGAGACCAGAGAGAGACCAGAGAGAGACCAGAGAGAGAGACCAGAGAGAGACCAGAGAGAGAGACCAGAGAGAGAGAGACCAGAGAGAGACCAGAGAGAGACCAGAGAGAGACCAGAGAGAGAGACCAGAGAGAGACCAGAGAGAGAGACCAGAGAGAGACCAGAGAGAGAGACCAGAGAGAGACCAGAGAGAGAGACCAGAGAGAGACCAGAGAGAGAGACCAGAGAGAGACCAGCGAGAGACCAGAGAGAGACCAGAGAGAGACCAGAGAGAGACCAGAGAGAGACCAGAGAGAGACCAGCGAGAGACCACGAGAGGACCAGAGAGAGACCAGAGAGAGGGACCAGAGAGAGACCAGAGAGAGGGACCAGAGAGAGACCAGAGAGAGACCAGAGAGAGACCAGAGAGAGGGACCAGAGAGAGACCAGAGAGAGACCAGAGAGAGACCAGAGAGAGACCAGAGAGAGGGACCAGAGAGAGACCAGAGAGAGACCAGAGAGAGACCAGAGAGAGACCAGAGAGAGACCAGAGAGGGACCAGAGAGAGACCAGAGAGAGACCACAGAGAGAGACCAGAGAGAGACCACAGAGAGACCACAGAGAGGCCAGAGAGAGAGACCACAGAGAGACCACAGAGAGACCAGAGAGAGACCAGAGAGAGACCAGAGAGAGACCCAGAGTTGTTTCCGTCTCTTACCTGCGTATGTGAGTCTGTCTGGGACCTGCATGCTGTAGACCGGAGGCTTGGTCTGGTGCTGGTCCTGGTCCTGGTCTGGTCCTGGTCCCACACTGAGCCTCTCTGGGACCCTCATGGTTTTACTGATGGACTCCATGAAGGCTGGATCTCTGCCCAGGACCGGAGAGGCATCTATGGGGAACATCCTGGAAACACAAACTAAAATCACTGAATTATAAAAAACAAAAACTTCTGTTTTGCGCTTTTCACTGCACCCAAAGACGTTAGCGCTGCTCGGCCCTACTCTACTCAGCTTGACTCTGTCTGGTTGTGTTTCCATTACACTTTAGTATCTGGTGCTGTATCCTAGCAACTGACCCGCAACAAACCACCGTCAGTTACAACACTTTAGTACCTGCTCGGCCTGGATAGAACCAGGACCAAGAGGAAGGACATGGTACTGGATCAACAGTCTCAGTCTTCTGGGTCTACAGCCTCAGTCTTCTGGGTCTACAGCCTCAGTCTTCTGGGTCTACAGCCTCAGTCTTCTGGGTCTACAGCCTCAGTCTTCTGGGTCTACAGCCTCAGTCTTCTGGGTCTACAGCCTCAGTCTTCTGGGTCTACAGCCTCAGTCTTCTGGGTCTACAGCCTCAGTCTTCTGGGTCTACAGCCTCAGTCCTGGGTCTACAGTCTCAGTCCTGGATCTACAGCCTGAGTCCTGGATCTACAGTCTCAGTCCTGGGTCTACAGTCTCAGTCCTGGATCTACAGTCTCAGTCCTGGATCTACAGCCTCAGTCCTGGATCTACAGTCTCAGTCCTGGATCTACAGTCTCAGTCCTGGATCTACAGTCTCAGTCCTGGATCTACAGCCTCAGTCCTGGGTCTACAGCCTCAGTCCTGGGTCTACAGCCTCAGTCCTGGATCTACAGTCTCAGTCCTGGGTCTACAGCCTCAGTCCTGGGTCTACAGCCTCAGTCCTGGATCTACAGTCTCAGTCCTGGGTCTACAGCCTCAGTCCTGGATCTACAGTCTCAGTCCTGGATCTACAGCCTCAGTCCTGGATCTACAGTCTCAGTCCTAGGGCCACAGTTTTTACTTTTACAGTTTAAGTTGTTTTTACTTTTCCACAGATAAAATAATATTACTATACTAAAGTTTTGTGCTCTGTCATGTTTTTATAAAGAAATAAATCCAGTGTCCACTTCATAATGACACAAACCACTTCAGTCTCACTGGTTTCCATAGAAATAGCGTTAGCATGAGGAGGCTAGCTCGTTAGCAACAGGTGCTAAAGTTGAGGTCAAACTTCTCATTACGTCCTGAATGTGGCGCTAATGCACAAAAGCATCAGACCAGAGCAGGAAGAAAGAGTCTTGTTTGTAAAAGTCATGACACGAGAATAAAGTCTGGACTCACCTGATTCTGACGTAAATAAATAATAAACCAGCAAGTGTCAGAAGTGACGCAGGACCGGAAACAGCCGGAGCAGCGCTTCCGGAAGAAGACTGTCAAAATAAAATGTCGAGCTAGTTATTTAAGATAAGCTATTGTGCAGTATTTAAGGCAAGGCTGGTCTTTTTCTGGTCTCTCCCTCTGGTCGCTCTCCTCTCTCCGGTCT